TGACCTAGTTCTGTGCAAAAGTATTTTGTTTGAAGTTCTTTCCATGGAGAACTCTTTATCTAACCATTACTGTTTAGAAATGTGACCATTTTTCTTGAAGATGACACAAAAGCAGTCATAACTAAGGCAAAATACACATTTCTAATAGAATACTGAGCTACCAGCAAAATCACTGAACTACGCCTGTTGTCCCAGCAACACCCCCCCCCCCCCCCACACACACACATCCCAGTCCTACTCTTTTTGAAGAGCCATCATATAGGCAAATACATGTATAGTTACATCTACTCAGTGGTGTAGCTGGAGGCACTGGTGGCAATGGGTAGAGCTTGGAGGGCTTCAGGGAGGCGTTCATTTGATGTAGAGTTTGCTCAATGAGAGGCAGGTGATCTTGTAATTTGGAGGCGTATTCTAGGAGGGACGAAACATTTTGGAATCAGAAGATCTGTGTTGCAATGTGGACTGAGCCTCTTAAGAGCTGTGAGACCTTGGATAAGTCACTTAACTTCCCTGGGCCTTGGATTTCTCATTGGTGAAATGAGGTGAAATGACTCCCTGTATAGTACTCTTCCTTCCATGCCATGATTTTCCTCCAAGTTCGTGGGAGGAGCTGATGATTGAAGTGAATAAATCATCATTAAATTATTTAGTGCCTCCTATTAAAAATTAAGTCCAGACTGGACTGGTTTGGGCAGCAGTTAGAGAGTTGGTTTGCAGACCAAAGTCTCAGGTTCGATTCCGATCAAGGGCATGTACCTCGGTTACGGTTCTTCCCTGGGCCTGGTCGGGGTCGTGCAGGAGGCAACCAGTAAATGTGTCCCTCTCTCCCTCTCTCCCACACTATGGAAAAATATCCTTGGGTGAGGATTTAAAAAATAACAAATAAATAAAAAGTCCATTTTATAAATATGCAACAGTAATGAAATCATAAATATACCCATTATCTTTACTTCTAGTTACCTGCACTGTGTTCCCAGTTCTCTAGTTTTTCTTTATTTTGTGGTTATGATACAGAGGACTCTGATTTGCATTGCTGTACCCTTGGTGGTGGAGACAGGTCCAGGTTTTCAGTTCTACCCTTAATTTGATTCCGTTCTTTAAAATACACCACCACTCTGTTTTCCAACACTGTCAAGCTTCCTCGTGCATTTCAGTGAATACATCCTCTCAAGAAGAAAACTGCTGTAGGAGTGAAAAATCTGGGGGCTGTGTATCTCGAACATAAAGTTTGGCTGTATTATAAGGAAATAGTTATAAGCAGAAACTTTAAAACACGGCTTTACTCTACTAATGACTATTACAGAAGGTCTCACATTTATTGGCAGAATCTTCTCAGGAGAACTTCTGGCTGCCCCTGAGCAGTGGTCCTGGCTCCTGGGCCCAGGGCTTAGCCGTGGCTCTGATGCTGTGGTGGAGATGCCCCTGAGCAGTGGTCCTGGCTCCTGGGCCCAGGGCTTAGCCGTGGCTCTGATGCTGTGGTGGAGATGCCCCTGAGCAGTGGTCCCGGCTCCTGGGCCCAGGGCTTAGCCGTGGCTCTGATGCTGTGGTGGAGATGCCCCTGAGCAGTGGTCCCGGCTCCTGGGCCCAGGGCTTAGCCGTGGCTCTGATGCTGTGGTGGAGATGCCCCTGAGCAGTGGTCCCGGCTCCTGGGCCCAGGGCTTAGCCGTGGCTCTGATGCTGTGGTGGAGATGCCCCTGAGCAGTGGTCCCGGCTCCTGGGCCCAGGGCTTAGCCGTGGCTCTGATGCTGTGGTGGAGATGCCCCTGAGCAGTGGTCCCGGCTCCTGGGCCCAGGGCTTAGCCGTGGCTCTGATGCTGTGGTGGAGATGCCCCTGAGCAGTGGTCCCGGCTCCTGGGCCCAGGGCTTAGCCGTGGCTCTGATGCTGTGGTGGAGATGCCCCTGTGCAGTGGTCCCGGCTCCTGGGCCCAGGGCTTAGCCGTGGCTCTGATGCTGTGGTGGAGATGCCCCTGTGCAGTGGTCCCGACTCCTGGGCCCAGGGCTTAGCCGTGGCTCTGATGCTGTGGTGGAGATGACCCTGTGCAGTGGTCCTGACTCCTGGGCCCAGGGCTTAGCCGTGGCTCTGATGCTGTGGTGGAGATGCCCCTGTGCAGTGGTCCCGGCTCCTGGGCCCAGGGCTTAGCCGTGCCTCTGATGCTGTGGTGGAGATGCCCCTGAGCAGTGGTCCCGGCTCCTGGGCCCAGGGCTTAGCCGTGGCTCTGATGCTGTGGTGGAGATGCCCCTGAGCAGTGGTCCTGGCTCCTGGGCCCAGGGCTTAGCCGTGGCTCTGATGCTGTGGTGGAGATGCCCCTGTGCAGTGGTCCCGGCTCCTGGGCCCAGGGCTTAGCCGTGGCTCTGATGCTGTGGTGGAGATGCCCCTGAGCAGTGGTCCCGGCTCCTGGGCCCAGGGCTTAGCCGTGGCTCTGATGCTGTGGTGGAGATGCCCCTGAGCAGTGGTCCCGGCTCCTGGGCCCAGGGCTTAGCCGTGGCTCTGATGCTGTGGTGGAGATGCCCCTGAGCAGTGGTCCCGGCTCCTGGGCCCAGGGCTTAGCCGTGGCTCTGATGCTGTGGTGGAGATGCCTCTGAGCAGTGGTCCCGGCTCCTGGGCCCAGGGCTTAGCCGTGGCTCTGATGCTGTGGTGGAGATGCCCCTGAGCAGTGGTCCCGCCTCCTGGGCCCAGGGCTTAGCCGTGGCTCTGATGCTGTGGTGGAGATGCCCCTGAGCAGTGGTCCTGCCTCCTGGGCCCAGGGCTTAGCCGTGGCTCTGATGCTGTGGTGGAGATGCCCCTGAGCAGTGGTCCTGCCTCCTGGGCCCAGGGCTTAGCCGTGGCTCTGATGCTGTGGTGGAGATGACCCTGAGCAGTGGTCCTGCCTCCTGGGCCCAGGGCTTAGCCGTGGCTCTGATGCTGTGGTGGAGATGCCCCTGAGCAGTGGTCCCGGCTCCTGGGCCCAGGGCTTAGCCGTGGCTCTGATGCTGTGGTGGAGATGCCCCTGTGCAGTGGTCCCGGCTCCTGGGCCCAGGGCTTAGCCGTGGCTCTGATGCTGTGGTGGAGATGCCCCTGAGCAGTGGTCCTGGCTCCTGGGCCCAGGGCTTAGCCGTGGCTCTGATGCTGTGGTGGAGATGCCCCTGAGCAGTGGTCCCGGCTCCTGGGCCCAGGGCTTAGCCGTGGCTCTGATGCTGTGGTGGAGATGCCCCTGAGCAGTGGTCCCGGCTCCTGGGCCCAGGGCTTAGCCGTGGCTCTGATGCTGTGGTGGAGATGCCCCTGTACAGTGGTCCCGGCTCCTGGGCCCAGGGCTTAGCCGTGGCTCTGATGCTGTGGTGGAGATGCCCCTGAGCAGTGGTCCCGGCTCCTGGGCCCAGGGCTTAGCCGTGGCTCTGATGCTGGGGTGGAGATGCCCCTGAGCAGTGGTCCCGGCTCCTGGGCCCAGGGCTTAGCCGTGGCTCTGATGCTGTGGTGGAGATGCCCCTGAGCAGTGGTCCCGGCTCCTGGGCCCAGGGCTTAGCCGTGGCTCTGATGCTGTGGTGGAGATGCCCCTGAGCAGTGGTCCCGGCTCCTGGGCCCAGGGCTTAGCCGTGGCTCTGATGCTGTGGTGGAGATGCCCCTGAGCAGTGGTCCCGGCTCCTGGGCCCAGGGCTTAGCCGTGGCTCTGATGCTGTGGTGGAGATGCCCCTGAGCAGTGGTCCCGGCTCCTGGGCCCAGGGCTTAGCCGTGCTCTGATGCTGTGGTGGAGATGCCCCTGAGCAGTGGTCCCGGCTCCTGGGCCCAGGGCTTAGCCGTGGCTCTGATGCTGTGGTGGAGATGCCCCTGAGCAGTGGTCCCGGCTCCTGGGCCCAGGCTTAGCCGTGGCTCTGATGCTGTGGTGGAGATGCCCCTGTGCAGTGGTCCCGGCTCCTGGGCCCAGGGCTTAGCCGTGGCTCTGATGCTGTGGTGGAGATGCCCCCTGAGCAGTGGTCCCGGCTCCTGGGCCCAGGGCTTAGCCGTGGCTCTGATGCTGTGGTGGAGATGCCCCTGAGCAGTGGTCCTGGCTCCTGGGCCCAGGGCTTAGCCGTGCCTCTGATGCTGTGGTGGAGATGCCCCTGAGCAGTGGTCCTGGCTCCTGGGCCCAGGGCTTAGCCGTGGCTCTGATGCTGTGATGGAGATGCCCCTGTGCAGTGGTCCTGGCTCCTGGGCCCAGGGCTTAGCCGTGGCTCTGATGCTGTGGTGGAGATGCCCCTGTGCAGTGGTCCTGGCTCCTGGGCCCAGGGCTTAGCCGTGGCTCTGATGCTGTGGTGGAGATGCCCCTGAGCAGTGGTCCCGGCTCCTGGGCCCAGGGCTTAGCCGTGGCTCTGTGATGCTGTGGTGGAGATGCCCCTGAGCAGTGGTCCTGGCTCCTGGGCCCAGGGCTTAGCCGTGGCTCTGATGCTGTGGTGGAGATGCCCCTGAGCAGTGGTCCTGGCTCCTGGGCCCAGAGCTGAGCTGCGGATCTTTGTGATAATGTGACAGGGATACTCCATCGCCAACAAACAATATCAGCCTAGTCATTCCTGCATTGGGTTTGGCTGACTGTCCAGGGTTAGTGACCTTGTTGCAAAATCTCCGTCAGTCCCTGGACAGGGTTGGATGACTTCTACCAAGCAAGCTGGGCAGATTTTAAGCTTCAGATTAAGATTCTCAAGAGAAATGAAAAAGGAGGAGGGTGGGACATCAGAAATTCTGGATGGGGCAGTAAGCATGTGTGTGTGTCTCCAGAAATGCTCGGTTACCCTCGGCTGCCAGGGAAAGGTCACCCTACTCTTTAAGGTCATCCCCCAAAGACCTCAAGTCCTCCGGGAGGAAATCGATCTCTTGTAACTCCGATCGTCCTGGTGCTGACTGTACTTTTCCAGAGTTTCACATTATTCATTTCCAGAAAATAATTTTAGTTGATTGCCGCGTGATCTTTTTGAACGAGGCATTTTAAGAAGTAGGAGAAAATGGGTTGGCTCACCATCAAAATATATCCCTTTCAGATGCTCCTGAGGACAGCGCAACTGCCAATTTGGGACGGAAACTTGTTGGAATTTCTGCCTCTGGTGGATTTTAATGGTAGGTGAGACAGCTATCTTTCCTGGTTCATTTAGTTGGATGCCTGCCTGGAACAGGGGTATCAGTTGACCTTCCTTCCAGTTGGGCCTTTTATGATTAGGTGATAGATTCATGAGACTACGCTAGGCTGAGGATTTTATCCATCTGCTTTATTATTTGACCCAATGTCTCTTAATCTTGTCTCAGCAGATTTTAAATTTTTTGAAGGCTGGGGTGCTACCTTGTTTGTGTGTGTGTGTGTGTTCTCCATGGAAGAGTACGAGGGTGGGGGTGACTTGTGGAGAAGGTTCTGGAGAAGACAGCGTACAGGGAGACAGGAGCAAGGTCCTAGGTGGGAGGCTGACCATTAATGAGGAGAAGGGTACCACATCGTCTGAGGTTGAAGGGAAGGCATCCACACTGACATGCATGTGAATAAATTAATAGATAGCACGAGAAAAGATGAGGGGATCACATCTCATAACCTCCGTCTCATTAATAAAGAATGAGGCGAGATCAACCATTGAAAGAAAGGGATCTAAGGGATAGAAACGAATGGTAAACATTTGGAACGGTCATTGTGGAGAATGGAAGTGGGTTCCGACCGAGGACAGGTCAAAGGCCATGGGTATGGAGTGGGGCCAACCCTGAGGGCTGCCTGGTTTTTGTCCCCAGTGTGTAGCCGGTGGGTGTAGCGCTGGAGAAAGGATTGGAGCACACACTCAGAGATTCTCCTCAGCAATGTGGTGGAAAGAGAGTCCAAGTTGGCACACAGAACTGTTCAGACAGGCCACTCGGAGATGTAGTCTTGGTAGGGAAGGGCGTGTATTGCTGGTGGCGAGGGGAGAGGAAACCACAGGACTGGAGTGCTCTGAGGCCAGGGAGCTAGTGTAGTTGGAGTAGGAAGAGAGCTTAGAGGACAGGAGGATATGGCCAGAGCAGAATATTGGAGTTCAAGTCTCTTGGAGGGATGACAAAGCCAAGGAGGTAGCCATGAGAATGGGTGGTCCAAATGCAGGGGAGTAACTGAGGAGAGTTAGGGAGATCCGTGAGCTCCAAGAGGACATGGTTGGATGGATCAGCACATGGGTGGTCTACGTTCATGGTCAGCCAGGGGAAGGAGTAGAGCAGGGAAGAGGGTGGGCTTTTTCCCGGTAGAGGGAAGTAGTATGTTAAATAGATCCTTTCTATAAGGTGCCTATTCTCATAAAGTGAATGATAATCTGGAGATGCAGAGCTGCTTGAACAACATGGTCTATAGCTTGATAATCTTGACCACTTACAGTAGCCCCTATTTTATTTTTAATGGATATTTTTGTTCACTCAGACTTCTGAGGCTATGATTCACATCCTCGCATTTAAAACATCTTGTGAAACCATTTAATATAAGGAAAGAGATGAAATGTTCCCCGGGACCTGTCCTCACGTCCTGTCTGACTTACCCCTGTTTCCAGATTAATTTTTAGTTATGGGACTTGTTCATTATTTATTCCACGTGGCTAACGTGGGGGAAAAAGAAAGACACGGAACTGGCAAAGCAGAGGAGAATGAACACTGGGAGATAAATAATATACACAAGAGACTTGTGCCTTGGTAAGATGCCGATGAACCTGGCCTGGTGGCTCAGCTGATGGAGTGTCGTCCCATGTACCAAAGGTTGTAGGTTCGGTCCTTGGTCCAGGCACTATGGGAGGCAACCGATCAGTGTTACTCTCTTTCTCTTTCTTCCTCTCTCTCTAAAATCAATAAAAACATATCCTTGGGGGAGGATAAAAGAAAAGGTGCAGCCCCGGCTCGTTTGGCTCAGCGATTAGAGCGTCGGCCCAAGGACCAAAGAGTCGTGGGTTCGATTCCGGTCAAGGCCACGTACCTCGGTTGTGGTTTGGTCCCCGGCCCTGGTTGGGTTGTGCGGGAGGCAGCCAATCTATGTGGCTCTCTGACATTGATGCTTCTCTCCTCTCCCCCCTCTATCTGAAGATAAATGGAAAAATATCCTCAGGTGAGGATTAAAAAAAATAAAAGAAAATGGCAAATGGGAGGGCATCACAAATATGGACAAATGTTCACCTGTTAATGGAGCTTAAGAAAAGAGAAAGGTACTCAAAAGACAACCAAAATGTCCACAAGGAAAAAATGTGTAAAGGAAGCCAGCTCGATTTCCACTAAGCCCCTCGGGTCGTACATCGATCCAAGGAGATTCAGCTGACACTCTGGACTTGGAACCCACATCCCTTCTCCACCTCGAGTTCGCTGTGAGTGGGGTTGGATGTGGTGCAGCATCAAGAGCCCAGGCTTTGGACCAGAAACGCGCTGGACCCGTGTCCTGGCTCTGTCACACTGCGGGTGAGCAGCGTGACCTGGAGCGTGTGTCCGAGCTTCTCCGAGTCTCCGTTTCAGCCTCCGGAGGAGAAGCAGCTAAAACTCAAGCCAAAGGGTGGCTGCGAGGATGGGAGAGGGTGTGTGGGGTACTCAGAGTGATATCTAATACACGGGGGCGGCCGGGAGATGGTAGCTGTTAGCTAGTACTATTAGTACTATTACTGCCACTCCTACGCTGTTACTAAGGCTCCCGGCACTCTAGTCAGTAAATGAACCTGTACAGTGGAGGGGAGGCCTCCGGCGGGTGTTTGGGGGGCGTATGCTGCACTCCCAATACATTCCTGCCTCATAAAATAATGCAGAAGGCAAAGGTTACCTCTGCGGTGCTGCGGGCAGGGTCATACTTCCTCCCGGAGGACCACAGACACTTGTCAGTGACGTGTGTGTGTGTGTGTGTGTGTGTGTGGGGGGGGGGGGGGTCTGGGAGACTGGCAGCTGATGACGAGGCCGGAAGCAGACCCTTCTAAATGCACCCTCCAGAAGTCTAGCATCTTAAGTTAACTTCGAGAATAACCCAACCCCAGTAGCAATGCATTAATACTCCTGGGACCCAGCCCCCCACCCCAAGGGAAGATAGTGACTCTTTGGGCAGTACCCCAGCTCCTTTGAGCCAGCGCTTGGAAAAGGAGTGTTGTCGGAATGGTTGGCGTGAGGACCCCACCCGGGGAAGGGAGATTAGTGCCGAGCCTCCTTGTAGGAGCCCGTGTGTCCTACCCACTCCAGGAGGGGCCAGGTTGCGATGTGGAGCGCGCGGATGGGGCCGCGTGGACAAGATGATAAACATCTCTGGCTACTTGGGCACACGTAGAAAATATTTGGAAGAGGACATGAGCTGGTGTTTCATAGTATTTTAGGAAACATTTTCATATAAATTTATCCTTTGTAGGTCCCAGATTGTTATTCCTTTCTGCCTTTTATTAAAAAAATTTTTTTTCTTTATTGACTTTAGAGAGAGAGGAAGGGAGAGGGAGAGAGAGGTAGAAGCATCGATGAGAGAGAACATGGATTGGCTGCCTCCTGCATGCCCCTCATTGGGGGTCGGGCCCACAACCTCGGCATGTGCCCTGACCGGAATCGAACCAGCACCCTCTTGAATGGATCCATGCTCAACCACTGAGCCACACCGGCTGGGCCCTTTCTGCCTTGTAGACAGCAGGAAGTGGGCTAATGCTCAGGTCAGGTCACGGCGAAGGCAGAGTTGCAGTGACCTCTGCAGAATGTTCTCCCTGCAGGGAAGGTCCAGGTTTGGTTTGGGGATTTCCTGCAGTTGAAGTATTCCGTGTCTTAGCCAACTGCTGGCGTGTTTTATTTCTGTGTTCTCTGTTGTACTGCAGCACTGGAAAGGTTTAGCTTCGACTTTTTTGGGGAGGGGCAGCTTCCTGATCGGGTCTGCACCCTCACTGGGCAGAAACGCAGACCCCAGATACTTCTGGCATCGCATCGTTAAACTGCCAGGGCACAGATGAAGGCTGTCGCAGGGCCAATGGAGCGAACCTCTGATTCTCCTGTGCCCTTGGGCAGGAGATGAGGAGCCCATGGAGTTGGTTTATGGTACCCAGACCTTGGGGTTTGCCCTCCTCTCTCACTGTAATATTGTTTTATTAAGGAATAATTTGGAACCAATTTAAATGTCCATCAAATGGAGATGGGTTAAATACACTGTGATAGATCATTAAAGATAATAAGGTAAAACTATATTGCTGATATGGAGAAATATACAATTAATAGCTAATTGGAAAAGGGATATATATTTTACTATGGTTTCACTTTTATGAAGAAAAGATCTATTTATTCATCCATACATCATCTATCTTAATAGTCTTACAGATGAGTAAAATGCTCTGGAATGATATTCTTAAAATAAGGATTCACAAGAAAATTTTAACAGTGGTTAAGCCTAGTGAATAGTGTGAGGATTGGAGGGGGAGGGGGACTTTAACTTATCATTTTACATTTTTCCATATTTTTTTGAAATTTTAACCATAATTCTTATTCTCTTTGTGCCTTGGCTTCATCAGTTACAAAATGGGGATAATAATAAGTGGGTGGAGTCTTGGTTCATGACACCCAGACTTTGGGGTTTACCCTGGTCTCTCATTGTAATATTGTTTTTGTTAAGAAATTCATTGGAGCCCTTGGTCAGTGTAGCTCAGTGGTTAGAGCATCTGTCCATGAACTAGAGGGTCTCAGATTTGATTCCTGGTCAAAGGCACGTGTACCTGGGCTGCAGGTTCGATCCTCAGCCCTGGTTGGGCTCATGAGGGAGGCAACCAATCAATGTTTCTCTCTCTTCCCCCCCCTTTGTTCCCTCCCACTCTCTCTAAAAATCAATGAAAAAAATATCCTCAGGTGAGGATTAAAACAAGAAAGAAAAAGCCACCTAAACATCCGTCGAGAGTGGATGGGTTAATGATGGGTTGATATCGCACAGCATTGTCGAGGGGCCTGGGTGATGAAATGCATCTGAGGTGCTTAGGATGAAAGGTAGCACATACAAATGCCCAGTAGATGTTAGCTGGTTAAATTAGTTTCAGCATTATCAGTAAAGAGGCATTACTGCGTACATCTGGGTTCTGCCGGAACTCTACGCCCATAAATAGAGCAAACTCAGGGCTTCAGGTGTCGTTCTGTCCTTACTGGAGGAAAGGAACTGGCTCAGTGGTTCTGCCCCTCCCCCCTCACCACTGCAGGTGCCACCTGCTCTGTGTCTTCACGAGGCTGGAGATATTGTGAAGGTCAAGTGACATGTTCACATGAGGTGGAGGAGTAGCTGGGTGTGGCATAGTAAAGAATATGTCTGAGCCCGACCAGGGTGGCTCCGTGGTTGAGCATCCACCCATGCACCAAGAAGTCGCTGGTTCGATTCCCAGTTAGGACACATGCCCATGTTGTGGGCCCGATCCCCAGTGGGGAGCATGCAGGAGGCGGCCAATCCGTGTTCTCTCTCATCAATGTTTCTATCTCTCCCTTCTGCTCCCTCTAAAGAAAAAATATTTAAAAAATTATGCCTGGTATTTGTCCCTGGTTTCCTCAAAACCCTTGGAATTTCTTGAGTGACAGCGGTGTCTTTGTTATGCTAATGAGACGAGTCCTCGTAGGCCCTTAGGTGGTTTCAAGATGCGGGCTGGTCACCAGAAAGACCAAATGTGTGATTAGGAGGTTGGAACTCCGGACCCACTCGCCCTCAGAGGAGGGAGTGGACTGGAGATCGAGTTCAGTCCTGTGGCCAGTGATTTAATCAGTCACCCCTAAGTAATGAGATGCCACAGAAACTCTGCCCTGAAGCTGGGTGGAGCCTCCTGGTTGGTGGGCATGTTGATGCGTTGGGAGGATGATGTCCTGACCCCACCGGGGAAGGACACGGAAGTTTTGTGCTCCTCCAGTCCCACGTGGATCCTTGGTAACGAACTGTAATTGTAAGTTAGCTCTGTCTCGAGTTCTGGGAGTTGTTCTAGCGAATTACTGAGCCCAGGGAGTCATGGGAACCCTGAAATTTGTAACCAGCTTGTCAGATGTGTGGGTGGCCTGGGAACCCCGAAACAAAGCTAGAGCAGGGACAGTCTTGTAGGGTTTGGGGCTGAGCCCTTATACCCGTGGGGTCTGGTTAGTGTCAGGATCGACTGATGACAGTGTACCCTGGTGGGGTGGAAACAGCACAGAGCCACCTGGTTTAACTAATCCTCGCCAAGATCCCCTCAACCAGAGCTCCGCATCGCACTGTAGTTGTCATGGGCAGAGTAACCCAAACCAGAGGCTGGAATGATCTGGGGTCACCATGTGCCCCTTTCCCCCCACTGTTCCCATCCCCTGCCCTTTGATCCTCATGAAAAGTCATCAGTAAAAATGACGGTGAAACCACTAAGCGCCACTTTTCATTGGCACCCAGGACTTTTTCTACTTGTAGATCGAATGCACTCCTCCTTGGTGTAAAATTGCAGTCCCTGGTTTTCTTTTTCCCCCCGACTTGCCTCCAACAGAGACCCCCAAGCGCACATTTGCCGAGTAGCTGTGTTATGTACAAGCCCTCCCCAGTCTGTGAGACATTGAGCTCACACAAGAGCGGCCGCTCAGCGTTTAAATGGGCCTCACGCATTGTAGAACACGTTCCTCTTCCTCACTGCTCAGATTTTTAAGGAATACAAATAGCCTTTCATTTCAAAGCTGGGAAAAACAACCACCAAGGTGCCAATAGTCTTGCCTGCTATTAGGTGGTTGGTAGAGCCAGACATCGAGCTCTGTAACCACGGATGGAACAGCACCTGCCAGAGCCCTTGCTCACCTGGGTCCTGATGGGGCGACTTTTGTTTATTGACTTGACCTGTTTGTTTCTGTTTGAACTTGATTCCCCGTCTGCCCACCAGCCACCATTTCCCATTCGCAGCAGCATAGTTCAGTATTTCCTCTGTCAAAACAGACTGTGCGGACCTGGGAAGTGCAGACCCGCCTCCTGTCAGCATAATGAAACCAAGTAGGAAAAGCAACTATGTTCGCCAGTGTCTATAACATGCAGGCACCTGAGGTCAAGTAGGTGCAGGCATCCAGATGCCCCTGTGTCTGCATGACTCCCCGGGGACCAGGATGGGGACAATGGCAAAGCACACCTGTGAAGACCACACAGAAGCAAAAGAATCTTAGTGGGGGAAAGGTCTCATGAACCCCCTCTACAATCTCCCTTATAAAAAGTCACCCAGTCTGTGGGCACAGTCGATAGGGTGAAGCGCCCTGGCTGGTGTGGTTCAGCGCTTAGAGCGTCAGCCTGCGGACCAGAGAGTCCCAGGTTCGGTTCCCACTAAGGGCACGTACCTCGGTTGCAGTTTGTCCCTGGCCCCTTTGGGGTCATGTGGGTGGCAACCAGCAATGTGTCTCTCTCCCTCCCACTCGATCTGAAGATAAATGGAAAAAAAAAAAAAAAAGTCCTCGGGTGAGGATTAAAAAAAAAAAAAGATACGGTGAAGCGTCCCATGGACTTGGGGGGCCCTCCCTCAGTTAGATGAGCCGCTCGAATTGTCACGTGGCTCTTTGTACGCGGAGCTGTGTCTTGCAGCCGGCGTCCCGTTTCTGCGCTGGCCCACGCAGGGGTGGTGTGTAGCAGCCCTTCTCCGGGAAGGGAGGGGGAGCGACAGGTTTTCCGTGGCGCCCGCTGCCCTAGTCTCCTAAGGTTGTCGTGATGCCATGAGCTGGGTGGTTCAAAACGAGAGATGTCTTCTTAGGAAGTTCTGCAGTTTCAAAATTATATTCAAGTCCCTGGAAGTCAGTGTGTCAGCAGCCTGGGCTGCTTCTGAGGGGCAGTCCGCTCCCTGTGTGTCTCCAGCTGCTGGTGCTGGCGGGGGGGGGGGGGGGGGGGGTTCCGTGGGCTCCTGGCTTGTAGCTGCGTCTCTCTCTCCCGTCTTCGCTTTCATCTCCACGTGGCCTCCTCCCTGCGTCCCTGTCTTCCCACGGCCATCCTTCCATCCTTCCCTCTGTGTCTCTCCTCTTCTTAAAAGGACACCAGTCATATTGGATTCGGCCCCCCTGCTCCAGTACTACCCGCCGTAATCAGTCTACCAGCACAAGCTCTGTTTCAGATCGGGTCCCACTGCAGTATCGGAGATGAGGACTCCAGGGTGTCTCCTGAGACACAGGTCAGCCTGTAACAGTACTGAGTCCCTTGCACTGTTCTCGGTAGAACAACGTTCCAGGCCCCTGGCCACACTGTTCACCTCCAGCCACAGGGTCCAGGTGGTTCATCCCTTCACAGCTGTGGTTTGAGTGAGATCAGAGTGCAGAGCAGGGAATTATGTTTCATTCTCTCTTTTTTGAGTCTCGGATGAAAACATTTCTAGTAGGAGGCATCCGTTTCAAAATTGTATCTTCAGGCAAAGGAAATGTTTTAAAGTCCCGTTTTTCTGTTCCTAGGAAAGTGCTTACATTTCCCAGGTAACTGAAACCTCCCCCTGTCAAAGGCTGATCCCTCCCCTGCCCCGCCCCTGGCTTGCTCAGGACCCCAGGGCAGGGACCACCACTCTCCTGTTTGCAAAATGGTTATTCCAGAGAAGACAGAAAACCGAACCATCCTCAGGGGGCAAAAGGAGCCACAGAGGGCAATCTGTTGGAGGTGATGTCTGAATGGGAGGGCGTGAAACCCCAGAGTCTTTGTGTTGGCGGGGTGGGCTGTTTAGCATTGATTTGTGGCCAAGAGGATTGATTCGTTGAATCCTTCTTACAGAGGGATCATCCCCGTACTGGGTTGTGAGACCCCCAAAGCAGGAGCTCAAGGGAGTGGGGCTGCTGTCCTGTAGCTGTTCTGGGCTGTCCGCACCCGTGACCCTTCCCGCAGAGGTGTGCAACCCTTCGGAAGCCTTCCCTGTTTTTATCCTATTTGGGGACCCTGACCAGGTCGTTGGTCTCTCTGTCATGTCCTAAGCCTCCGTCTGTAGGAAAGGGGTCTTCTGCTGAGGATTGGTGGTGGAGGCCTGGGAAGAGGGCTACAGAGAGCAGGTCAAGACCACCCGGGGGTCACTCCCATGCTTGGGCAGCGGAGCTCGGTGTCCGGGGTCAGTGTTCCCAACGTTGCAACCCCGCGCCGGAACCCTCAAATCCTCAAATGTGTTTGTGTAGCTTTTCAGAAGCATTCCAATTCTTGCCGGATATTTTTTCCTGGTTTGTGGTGGGAAGGAGAGTGATTCTGGACTGGGCCTTCGTTAGATGTCAATAACGCTCTGGTTTCTCCGCCTTTTCCCAGGTTACCGTCGGTGATAGCTGGCGAGTCTAAGCCGATCCGGGGGATGCCACTGTGATTTAGGGGAACACGATGTGTTTGGAAAGACCTAGAGGTGATCTGCACACAGAGGTGGAGGTGGCCATGGTCATGATGGTGGCAAGGGGGTGGGAGCTTGGCTATTGTATCAAGACTTTAGAAATAGTAACTGCCCCCCCTTAATTACCCACCTGTTCTCTCGGCCTGTCTGCGTCCCTGTGGAGTTGTTGTAAGTATTCATGTTTCTCTTTGTAGGGAGTACAATGGGACGAAAGCTGTTTTCTGTCAATGTTTATGGGAAAAGGAGAAATCGGAGGAGAGTTTGGGAGGTAATATATTTCACGGGGCTAACGGGGTAAATTTATTTTGATCATTGGAACGATTGTTTTTCCTTATTAACTTGAACCTAATGAGACGGATCCAGTGCCATTTAATCAGAGCGTTTATTGAGTGCCTCGTGTGTGTGAAGCTTGAGCAGTTGGCGTGGGTGGATCCATCAGAAAGAACGAAACGCGCACCATTAATAAGAGATGATAAAAGTGCCATTTGCGGCCAGAGGAATGAGAGAGAGTTTACGAACGTTTCGGCTGGATCCCCGTGAAAGTAGGGGCCTGAACACTTACGGGGGTGCCACCCCAGGGAAGCAAGAACGAGGCAAAAAGGGCAGCAAGGCGAGAGCCAGTGCACGGTGGCGCTTTGCCCAGGTGATTACAGCGTCGCAGAAAACCAGATGGCCGCTCGGTCACGTGGCCTCTCTCTAGGGACAGTGCAAGGACAGTGAGCTGTGCATCGCCGAGACGGAGGAGGGAGCATCTACGTGCTGGCTCTCGCCTCTCCCCTCTGTCCCGTTCGTCAGAGTCTGCTCCATAGACACCGCGTCCGGCACGATTTGGGGTTGTGTTATCCAGCCCCGCAGGAGGTGGCGGGGAGGCCAGAGCCGCAGGGGCCCAGTCTGTCCCGTGCACAGACATGGTCAGCTGGAGGCCACGGGTGCCTCCGGTCTGTGGTGGCAGCAGTGGCGACTTGGGCTTTATGGCTGTAGAAACGACGAGCTGTCACTAGGGCCATTCTGGCCTGGAAGTAAGACAAACCACGAGGCTGGGGGTGAGGACACAGCAGGGCTGAGCGGATCTGGGTGGGCCACACGTGTACCGCCAGGGTTGGGAAAGCTTCCGGGAGGAGACAGTCCACGGGGGGGCGGGTACAAGGGTGTGTAGGATTTCGACAGGCAGCGATCGAAGGGATGTCGGTAGTGAGGCTGAATGAAGCACTTGGAGGTGGGGAAGCGGGGCTGGTCAAGGGCACAGCGCGGACTCTGAGGCGTGTAGTGGAGAAGGGGGAGGCAGGTTGGAGGTGTAGGTGGAGCTGGGTCAGGGAGGGCTTTAGAGCGATTGCTCCTACTGGCGTGGGACAATGGCACTTGTTCCTGGCACCCCTGCTGCTCCACGGAAGGGGTGCTCCTCCAGGCCTGTGGACTGGCTGGGCAGCTTTGCTCTGGACATTTCATCCCGGGCCCCAGGTTGAAGGGCAGGAGCCCTCTGGGGAAGCTCTTCTCACGGCAGAAGCTCACGAGGGCTTGACCGACCACCCAAGCTCACCTCCAGCTGCTGCTGGGTCATCTCTACTAACATACCGCCGGCCCAGGGAGCCACATGCCCAAGGCCAGAGTCAGTGGGGCAGGAAATACACACTCCTCCTATGAGACCCTGGCACGGATGTGGATACATCGTTTTCCTCCAAGGAAATAAAGAGTTATGGTCAATAATTTTCTTTTTTTCGATATTTTGTTCAGATAGAGTGAGAGGGAGAGAGAGAGAGAGAAACATCGACGTGAAAGCGACACATCGAGTGGTTGCCACCCACACGACCCAACCAGGGCTGGGGACAAACTGCAACCAAGGTACGTGCCCTTAGCGGGAACCGAACCCGGACTGCGGGCCGAGGATCTAGCTGCTGAGCCAAACTGGCCAGGGCTGGTCAATAATTTGATGGAGCAGAGCGAAGGTGAGAAGCTTGTCAGTTCGGGGGAAGGAAGGTGTTTTCTTCATCGTGCCCGTGCCTCTGGTGCCACGCTCAGTGCCCACGCCGCATGCACGGCCGGAGGAGGGCTCCTCTGAGGCGATTGCGTTTGGGGCTTGCCCCCACCCCCCCCCCCGCGTTTTCTCCAGATGAGGCGTCAGGATATGTAGGACTTGCATCCGGTCAGGTTAGAGCACGCATTTCAAATAACCTTTCCGAAGCTTTGCTTTTCTGCGCCCTTTTCTTACGCAAGAACTAATTAAAACCTCGTTTTGATTGCCTTGTCAAACCACCCTTCTCTGCCTGACCGTGACTCCCAGACACACTGTCCGTCAGCCCCGTCCTAGGTGGTCACTCCCCACCGCTGTTCTGTTGCGGTCGCTGTTTCCCCAGATCCTGTCTCTGGGAGGGGCGTCTTCTCGGGGCTCAGATGCCTCCATCTACTGCTCACCCTTCTGGCTTGGCCAAACGTCTCTCTCTCCAACCAACCCTGGGACCCTTCCAGCCCTCGCCGACGCCTCCTTTTCCTGAACACCTGTTTACACCTGTGGATGTTTTAAATCTTTACCGCTCGGTGATGGTCCATGTGGGTGAGTCTCTGACAAGAGGTCATTTCTGCCTTGGCATCCATTTGGTCTGGCCAAGTGGCCTGCGGGGACCTTGAACCGACCCTTGCCCCCTCATACAGGTGCATGCCCTATATGACAAGCCAGTGTAGCCTGGCTGGAGTGGCTCAGGTGGTTGAGCATCGTCCCGTGCACTGAAAGGTTGCCGGTTCGATTCCCAGTCAGGGCAGATACCTGGGTTGTGTGTTTGATCCTGGCTGGGGAGCATACGGAAGGAACTGATCAGTGTTTCTCTTTCACATCAATGCTTCTCTTTCTCTCCCTCTCTCCCTTTCCCCTCCCTCCCTCCCTCCCTCCCTCTAAGCATGTCCTTGGGTGAGGATTAAAATAGGACACAAACCAAGCCAGTGCAGTTGCTGATATGTCTTCCCCAACAGCCCAGTGATCAACAGCCTCCCAGCGCCTTTCCCTTGAGGCCCCGCTGGAGTTTAACAAAACTCTGCCCTTTTCAGTTTGAAGGGACGAATGTGTCCATAGCACAGGAAGCCCAAAGCTCTCCACCCACGGACCCTAATAAAGATGCGTGCCCCAGATCCTGCCTCTTTCTCTGTCTGTACTCCAGCTTGACTTGCCCGGGCAGCCCCTCGAGGGGTGCCCTGTACTTGCTCCAAGACCTCTGAGTAATAAACTTTATTTCAGTCTCCTTTGTGGTCTGTCATTGAGCTACAGGTCACCACCAGACACCCTGAGCTCCACTTAAGACATATTAATTTAACCACAGCCCCATTGACCCAATCAGTCTGTGAACATTTTCAAGGCAGAGCCCGAATCTTTTGCTTCTTGAGTTTCTCATCATGTTTAGCATGGTGCTTGATACAAAGTAGATGAAAGTGATTGATCTTACATGTACTGTATACATATTGACAGACTTGGCTATGGATTATGTGTATATTAAAAAGCAGACTCCTTGAGGGCAGCACATACGGGGCTTCAGTTCTCCTGACTTGGCACTTGAATCAATAATTGGTGAACTTTACTTTTAAAGTATGTTTTTATTGATTTCTCGTAGAGAGTGAGAAAGGGAGAGAGAGATAGAAACATCGATGTGAAAGAGAAACACCAATCAGCTGCCTCCTGTACACCCCCCACTAGGGATCGAGCCTGCAACCCGGGCATGTGCCCTGACCTGGAATCAAACTGGGACCTCTCAGTCCGTGCGATGACACTCAATCCACCGAGCCACACTGGCCAGGTGATAATTGGTGAACTTTTGATAGATGACCAGCCCATCTCATCATCGTGCTTTATCATTTAGATGCCCCAGGATTAAGAGGCTGATGGGGGACAACAAAATCATTTTTATTTATTTATTTATTTATTTATTTATTTATTTATTTAATCCTCATCCGAGGACATTTTTCCATTTTTTGTACAGATAGAGTAGGAGGGAGAGAGAGGAAGAGAGAGAGAGGGAAACATCGATGTGAAAGGGACACATCGAGTGGCTGCCACCCGCACGACCAACCAGGGCCGGGGACAAACTGCAACCGAGGTACATGCCCTTAGCGGGAACCGAACCCGGGTCTCTCCGGACCGCAGGCGGACGCTCTAACCGCTGAGCCAAACTGGCCAGGGCAACAAAATCATTTTTAAAGAGCCAGCTAGGGTCTTGGTGCTTGGAGCCTGCAGGAGTCTCCCCACTGTGGGCCCTCACCATGCAGAGGACACCCGCTGTCCTCTGGGCTGTGTGTTATCTCTTGCCCATTATGCAAATGAGCTATGAAAATAATAGGCTGTGTTTTATTCATCCCTCTGCAGCCATGCAAACAGTGAACATATGGTCCTATCTGTGCCTGGGATGAAAAGGAGAGGTTGACATTGTCCTTTCCGGCGGGGAAGACCCAGTGTTTCTCTTGCCGCCTCCTAAGGGACATTGTTGTGGAGAGCGCAGGGCACCCTTAGGGAAGCTGGCATTTCAAAGGAGCCTGGCTTTTGGGTTATGCTGCTTAGAAGTTTGAATAAAAGCATCACTCTGCCTCCTCCCTGTACTACTTCCTACAACCCGCAGTTTTGTTGATCTGGAGGATGACGGGTCAAAGTTGTAAGAATCTAATGTTATCTTCTGCACTCCTCTGTGGACCCTCTTCTTCTCTCCATGGCTCCCTGCTTTCTCAGGACACCCAGGATATTCCCCCCACACCTCTCCAGGACCCTGCTCCAACATCCATTTGGAATGGGAGGGTTGTGTGTTCCCCAAGCTGCTCCTCTACCTTCTTTCCAACCTCACAGCCATCCAACCTGAGCTCCATTCTCCAGAGCCTGCTCTCCCGAGGCTGACTGATCCAGTGCCACGTCATGGTTCTAAATCTTCACGATACGCTCCGTAAGCAGAGCCTCCTGGTGAGGTGCAAGAGAGTTGCAAGATAGTCCTGACATATCTTCTTCCAGTACTCCCAACACTTCCCGACTTAGTGGGAGGCTGTGCAGAAATGCAGCTGGAAGGGTCAGGGTGAGTTCAGGGAACTAGTGAATCGAAGACAGAATTATTCTATAGCCCAGGGGCAAAGCAGCTAAGGCTTGTACGGAAGTTGCTAGAAGCATCATCCAAATGGTAGATGCTAGAAGTAGATCAGAAAGGAGTCAAAGATTGGAAATTGGGAGACAAAGTCAAAAAGTCTTGAGGACTCTCGGCTGGTTCTACTGAATTCGACCGCTTCTGCACGGGCTGGGTTTTCTCCCATGAC